ATGAGATGTCAGTGTTATTTCATTTTTGCAAAAATTTAGATGACAATTTATCCATCGCAGCCTGTAGAATCTTATCTTTTTTTTCTGATGATTCCAGATAACTATAGGCCACAAGATGGCATTTTGTAATAACATCAATTATAAATTAACTTTTGTTATGTAAAACAAAAATCAAATTATATGTGATTGAAATTCAATCAGTGACTATGCAAGAGAAAATATAGAGAGATCCCACTGAAAGTTATTATATAAGATTTTGTTGAACCATGAAATTTGAGGAAAAAAAATCTCAACTGTGTTATTTATGAGAGCAAATTCAGCTTTAAATGAAAAAAGCAGGTATTAATGTATGCAGGTATGAGAAAAAAACACATTGGTGAGGTCAGTATTTAGCAAACTGGTTTTGCAAGTCATTTTCACGTAGTGTTCTATAAATCTGATCTTCAGTCAGTTTTGCCCAAACATATTAAAAACACCAATTGATCTCAATGACATATCAGTAGTTATAACATTGAAATGGAAAGTCTGAGGTTCAATCTTCTTTAAAATTCAAATTAATAGACACTTTTCACATGGAAAAAAAAATTCAAGTTAAATATAAACACACAATTTTCAACAAACTCTTGCATCTCATCCCCAAAATTCATAAAAGACAGAAAAAAAAGTAAAATTTGCAGTTTTTCTCGATGTATCACAGTATGGACAAGGTTAAAAACATCTTTGTTCCTTTAATTTTTAGTCATTTATGTAATCTGTCATATCACAGGTAGAATTAATTAAACAAATACATTAGAACTATCATTCATTCTATTGGTTACATAGTGGCAGCATATTCTGGTAGTAGAGAAAACAATAGCATTTTACTGCTGACTGCATTTATATAGACTAAGTTCTGCTTTTTATATCAATGCTTGTTGACTTTACAGCTATACTTGATACACACAAACAGCTATAACCATTATTTACATCTGTAGTTCCCAAAGTGGGGAACATACCCCACGAGGGGATTTGATTTTTTAAGGGGTGGGGTCATTTGAGACAGTGAATTTTTTTCTAGTGTGTGTCTGTGTGAGTATGAATGTGATTTAATACATATGGTGCATATACAGTATGCCTACATAAAAATATTTTGTGTGTGTGTGTGTGTGTGTATATATATATATATATATATATATATATATATATATATGTAAATGGATATAGATCCGACAGAATGAAGAATTTGGAAAAAACAAACAAAAAATCCCATGTGACGACAACGTGACCATGCTAAACGGAAAGCTGATCATTTTAAAAATTTTCAGTTATCTGTTTTGGATAAGACTTGTTGTTTATGTCCATCGTCTTTGTCAAATTGAACTGAATTGTATTTTAATGAATATTGTCTTGAAAAAGGTTTATTAAACCGAAACGTCAGACGTCGACATTTCATTCATTTTAAACAACATAATTGCATTTAAGGATTTTTGTTTGTTTTTTCCAAATTTTTCTTCATATATATCTCCAAGTATAGGATTGATGTATACTGAATAAATTCCAATAACCAAAAAATACTATTCTTAAAAAAGTTCTCAATACAGAGTAGAGCAAATATAATTTATTCGAAAATATATAATAATTTATTTGAAAATTATAACATAAATATGTTATAAAATCACTAGAAAAATAGCCATTTTGTTTCAAGACTTCTGGTGTTTTATCAAGTGAATGATGTTGAATGTAGAATCTTTCTACATTCAATACCATTACTTGATAAGACACCAGAAGTGTTGAAACAAAATGGCTATTTTTCTAGCAATTTTATAACATATTTATGTTATCATTTTTTAATAATTTTATATCTGACTGAAACCAAATCGATTGGGTTTCAATCTGGGCTTGAGGCTTTCAGTTGTCTAGTCACACTGAGGAGCTGTGATACTGCAAAACAGTACTGTCTGTGAATGACATTATATATATATATATATACACACACACACACAATAATATTTTTATAATTATTTTAAAATTCTAAAATTAAATGATAATATTATTGCATATATGGTGTCTCACATTCTTAAGGAAAGTTAAGTTAATGGCTTTTAAGCTTTCTCCACATGAATAGGAGTTCACTTTTTGAATAATAAGAATTATATGTTACAGGGCCAGTATCAGGATTTCAGAGATGCTTTGATAGGGCATGGTCAAAAAGAGGAAAAAAAAAATCAAGAAAAGAAAAATTATCAGTGGTTAGGATTTAAGATAAATATTAGATAGAATATGACTATTATATGCATCATGCATAAATATATACTTCAGACATTGTTAAGCAACATCGAGGTGGGTGGCTGCTTGGAGATATCAGGTGCTGTAAGCTTGGAATTACAGGGGCTGTAATGGATAACTTGGAATTGTTAATCAGAAAGCAAAGTTCAAATTCCAGTTGGGTTCATTATATTCACATATCTGCAAATAGTCTTGGGGAAAAGGTATAAATCTGCCTCTTCTCTCCCCACTATGGATTAATTAGTAAGAATTGTATCACTAACACCATTATTATTGCCAAAATAAAATAAAATTGTGTACATATACCAAGGAACTTTTATATATATATATATATATATATATATATATATATATATATATATATATATATATATATATATATATATATATACACACACACATATATATATATATGTATATATATATATATATACACACACATATATATATATATATATATATATATATATATATATATATGTACACACACATATATATATACACACACACATATATATATATATATGTGTACACACATATATATATATATATATATACACACACACATATATATATATATATATATATGCACATACACACATATATATATATATATATACATATATATATATATATATATATATATATATATATATATATATATATATATATATATATATATATATATATATATATGCATTTTGGAGGCTAAGACACTAAATATTTGAACATTTTTCTTTTAAAAAATAAGGAAGCAAAATACATTTCAAAGGCTAAAACACAAAATATTCAATAGTTTTCTTTTAAACAATAAGAAATGATGACTCTTAGCGGATATGTTCAAAATGCATTTCCTCCAGCTATAGATCAAACAGCAGAGTAGACTACACTCACTTACCTTAAGTGACAGCCAGTCTAGGAAAAAGAAAACTAAATTACAATAGCCATTACCTTGTGGGTGTCTTCAATTGAATAAAAAGCTAGAATAAAACCTTTTTCTTTATAACACTATAAGCTTCATTCTGTACAAGGCTTAGGAGACACTCAAGGTAGAATGTTAGAGAGGAAGTGGTACAGTTTATGCGGATGTGCAGAGAGTATAATGGTTAACCCTAGACTTGAACAGGTTAAGATTTTAGTGATGGAGGAAAACATTTTTTTAGGAGGTGGTTTCACAGAGCAGTGGTTTGTGGAAAGCTTCTGCTCAAGTGAGTAGAACTTACATCTCACCAATAGAATACAGATGGAATGAGGATGGTTTGCTACAATTTGCATAGGATGGTGGGTCGTAGCAGTGAAGGTCAGAACAAGTGGAACTAAGGAATATAGTTTGTCCAAGCACTTTCCATGGAAATGGTGATAGAACAGTGAGAGGCTTGCAACATTTTGCCTGTGAGAAAGGGGCTGTAGGTTTGAAAACAATTTGAACTTCCAAAAAGATGTGGAGATACTTTTGGACTATATTGAAATTGGAAAGTGAAGACTGGGCAGCTTCTGTCCATATATTGCAGCAGGACTCCATTTTATGTCTGATCTGGTTCTTGTAAAAGGTAGATGATAGCAAAAGGAGTCAGGTACTTACTAGAGTAGTACAGGAAACCAACAACCATTTTTCCTGCATCTTTAGCAATGGATCATATGTAGAACAACTTGAGATCTGGGTTGAGTTTGAGGCCCTAGAGTCACCCAAGGCAGCTGGATCCCTGAGGAAGCATCCATTCATTGTGACTGATGGTAGTTCAGGGTTCAATTGACAATGATAGAATGTAACTAGTTTGCAAAATTTCCAGAATTCATACCTGGGCCTGTAACACTACAATATAATTTGAGACTAAAATATTAAGGAAATGTACAAAAAGTTATTTTACTGTAGAAATACATTAATAATCAGGAAAAAAGGGATTTCAGTGGCCGGGAATTTATGAAAGCATTTATTGATAAAATAGGGTTAATATAAATTCTCTAGAAATGTACTGAAGATCACATGAAAACAGTTCGAAATTAATGCAAGCTTTACTGATATAATAGTACTAATGAGATACAAATTTAACATTTATCTAAATGTTTCTATCTTTTGTAAATATATTTGATTCCAGTTTAACATTTTCAGTAGTGGATACCAATGTATGTTTTTCTTTATATTTTCACTAGTTTTTATATCACATAGCAAATACCAGAATGCTGTTATCAGTTCATATCAGAAAAGACAGCACTGACTTATATATATGTATAAAGAAAATGGTTAATCTAACACAGACTCTTGTTAACTTTTTTAATGCTTTTCTATTTTTTGCTTTCTAAATAAAAGGATAGGGGTTAATGTCAGCATTTTACAGCCAGCTCACACTTTTTAAAGTAAAAAAAAAAAAAAAAAAAAATAATACCACAAATAAAACCATGGCTTTTACACAAGCAACACTGTCATAAGCCGACCTGTAATGATGTCAAAATGGCCAGGGCTAGAGTAGTGATGAAGAAACATGCCTCCATAAGCAAGAGAGGAGGACAGAGGCCAATACATGCTTCGTGTGAGCGGGTTCTATAAGGTCGACACATAATGAGTGGCTAATAACAAGTATGACATTGCAAATTTCGCATGAGGTTGAAGTTAGAACAATACACACAGGGAAAAGTTTGGATTTCAAAATTCCAGCTGCGAGCCAAGAGACAAAGAGAGAGATTGTTAGGATGTGTGAAAAGGAATACAGACACATACACACAAAGGACTGATATGACTAGAGAAAAAGGCACAGGGAGTTTGGAATAGAAAAGAGTGAAAAAGTGAGAAAAAAAGAGAGAAATCTTAGACAGAAAGAACAAAATGTTATAGAAAATCAGAGAAAGAGGGGAAATCAGAAACAAAGAGTAAGACAGGAGAGTCGGAAAGAGAGAGAGAAAAGGAGAGTCAGAGAGAGAGAGAGAGAAAAGGAGAGTCAGAAACGGAGAAAAAGTCAGTGAAAGAAGAAAACAGAAAAACGCAGAAAGGATAGTGTAAACACTCAGAGAGAGAAAGAGAGAGAGAGAGAGAGAAAAAAGAGATAAAAAGTCAGACTGGGCAAAAAGTCGGTGAGAGAGAGAGACTGGGCAAAAAGTCGGTGAGAGAGAGAGACTGGGCAAAAAGTCGGTGAGAGAGAGAGAGAAACTGGGCAAAAAGTCGGTGAGAGAGAGAGAGAAACTGGGCAAAAAGTCGGTGAGAGAGAGAGAGAAACTGGGCAAAAAGTCGGTGAGAGAGAGAGAGAGACTGGACAAAAAAAGGGAGAGAGAGAGAGAAAGACTGGACAAAAAATTCGGTGAGAGAGAGAGAGAGACTGGACAAAAAGTCGGTGAGAGAGAGAGAGAGACTGGACAGAAAGTCAAAAGAGAGAGAGAGAGACTGGACAAAAAGTCGGTGAGAGAGAGACTGGGCAAAAAGTCGGTGAGGGTGAGAGAGAGAGAGAGAGACTGGGCAAAAAGTCGGTGAGAGAGAGAGAGAGAGAGACTGGGCAAAAGTCGGAGTGAGAGAGAGAGAGAGAGACTGGGCAAAAAGTCGGGAGAGAGAGAGAGAGAGACTGGGCAAAAAAGTCTATGAGAGAGAGAGACTGGGCAAAAAGTCGGTGAGGGGTGAGAGAGAGAGAGAGAGAGAGACTGGGCAAAAAACAGGTGAGAGAGAGAGAGAGAGAGAGACTGGGCAAAAAGTCGGCTGAGAGAGAGAGAGACTGGGCAAAAGTCGGTGAGAGAGAGAGAGACTGGGCAAAAGTCGGGAGAGAGAGAGAGAGAGACTGGGCAAAAAGTGAGAGAGAGAGAGAGAGACTGGGCAAAAAGTCGGTGAGAGAGAGAGAGAGAGACTGGGCAAAAAGTCGGTGAGAGAGAGAGAGAGACTGGGCAAAAAGTCGGTGAGAGAGAGAGAGAGACTGGGCAAAAAGTCGGTGAGAGAGAGAGAGAGACTGGGCAAAAAGTCGGTGAGAGAGAGAGAGAGAGAGACTGGGCAAAAAAGTCGGGGCAAAAGAGAGAGAGAGAGAGAGAGACTGGGCAAAAAGTCGGTGAGAGAGTGGGAGAGAAACTGGGTAAAAAGTCAATGTGAGAGGGAGAAACGGGGTAAAAAGTCAGTGAGAGAGAGAGAGATAGACAGGGTAAAAAGTCAGTGAGAGAGAGATAGACGGGGTAAAAAGTCAGTGAGAGAGAGAGAGATAGACGGGGTAAAAAGTCAGTGAGAGAGAGAGAGAGACAGGGTAAAAAGTCAGAGAGAGAGAGACGAGGGGGGGGGTCAGAGAGAGAGAGAGATAGACGGGGTAAAAGAGAGGGTGAGAGAGAGAGAGAGAGACGGGGGGAAGTCAGAGAGAGAGAGAGGGGAAGACGGGAGAGAAAAGTCAGAGAGAGAGAGAGAGAGATGAGGCAAAAAAAAGTGAGAGAGAGAGAAAAAAAAGTCAGGAGAGAGAGTCAAAGAGAGAGAGAGAGATAGACGGGGGAAAAAGTCAGAGAGAGAGAGGATTGGGGTAAAAGTCAGTGAGAGAGAGAGAGGAAGGGGGTAAAAAGTCGGTGAGAGAGAGAGAGATACGGGGTAAAAAGTCAGTGAGAGAGAGAGAGAGAGACGGGGTAAAAAGTCAGGAGAGAGAGACAGGGTAAAAAGTCAGTGAGAGAGAGAGAGAGATAGACGGGGTAAAAAGTCAGTGAGAGAGAGAGAGAGATAGACGGGGTAAAAAGTCAGTGAGAGAGAGAGAGATAGACGGGGTAAAAAGTCAGTGAGAGAGAGAGAGAGAGACGGGGTAAAAAGTCAGTGAGAGAGAGAGAGACGGGGGTAAAAAGTCAGTGAGAGAGAGAGATAGACGGGGTAAAAAGTCAGTGAGAGAGAGAGATGAGGTAAAAAGTCAGAGAGAGAGAGAGAGAGAGACGATGGGGGGGAAGCCAGAGAGAGAGAGGGGGGAAGAGAGAGGAGAGGGGGGAAGTCGGTGAGAGAGAGAGAGGGGGAAGTCGGTGAGAGAGAGAGAGGGGGAAGTCGGAGAGAGAGAGGGGGGGGTCGGTGAGAGAGAGGGGGGGGAAGTCGGTGAGAGAGAGGGGGAAGTCGGTGAGAGAGAGATAAAGTTAGAGAGAGAGAGAGAGTGAGAGTGATAAAGTGAAAAAAGAATGTGTCAGAAGATTTATTTTTTCCACTTTCACTAAATCAGTGAAAGAGGAAAAATAAATCTTCAAGAGGCAAAGAATTCTTGCGGGAGAGGAGAGGAGAGTGATAAAGAAATCTTAGAGAGAGGCAAAGTAATCATAGAAAGTGAGCGGAAGACAGACTGAGAAAAATCACTGGTAAGGGAAATGAAAGCTTGGTAAGGTGTTTTTTGTTTGCTTTGTTTAAGGTATAGGACAAAAAGAGAGAGAAAGGGAAGACATGATAGCTGGTTTAAAGTAAGACAATAAAATAAAATAAAATAAAGAAACAAAGAAAGTGGGGAAAAAATTTTAAAAAAGGTGTGGGGAAAGTTTCATAAAGCATCAAATGTTATTTCTTTTCTTTTTTTTGTGCTGACAAATATAAAAAGAAAAACCCCAAAAATCTATTTTTTCTCCATTTACTAACGGCAAACTCTATTCATGTCCTGATCTCCAATCATCGTTATAACAATACTCTTTGATGCTGGAATTAATTTTTTAAAAGTGAAAAAAAATAAAAAAATAAAAAATAAAAGGTGTAGGTGGAAGTGGGAGAAAAAAATTGAGTGTAAAGCTGTATTTTTTATTCTTGTGGGTCTTAGGTCACCCTGGCCATCTTATTGTTAGGGTCAATATGACTGATAATTCTGTACAAGCTGTTCTAGACAGTTTCTTTCAAAAAGTCAGTTCATTATTTCAGCTGAAGAAATATTTTAAACAATGAAGTAAATAGAAAAAATAATACATTTATATGAATGATTGTAGTAAAGATTATTGAAGACTATTTAAAAATTTTCATTTACCTTTGGATTTTATCTCTAATTCAGAAGGCTTACAGACCCATCAAGTTGAAACACCAATTACTGTACAATCATGCCCGATGGGTGACAACTTGGAAAATACCAGATGCTGTAAGCTTGGGTATGTGGGTGGTGTAATGAATAATGTCTCAGAATTGTTAATTGGAAAGTAGAGTTCCAATTCCAGTTAGGTTCATTATATTTACTAATGTGCAAATTTCCTTGAGAGAGGTATTAATCCACATCTTTCCCACCCCAGCTATGGGTTAATTAGTAAGATTTGTATCACTAAAATCGGTATGTTCATGAGATCCATAAATAAAATAGCATACCATGAATAAAAGAAGGCCTTAAACTTGATGAAAATAATTTTTTACTGTCTAAATGTTATTATCAAGAGGAAAGATCAAAGTATTTTTTGAATATTTTTTTACATTGTTTTTAATAATTTCAAGCACATCCAAAATTTTCATTAAAAATCTTGAATTTTTTTGAATCCGCAAAATTGACAGAAAATCAATCGTCAGCCACTTTTTAAAGTTTTGTTTACAAAAGTGAAAAGCTCCATTTAAAAATCATTTAATAAATCAATTATGATTTTTTTTTAAATTAATTTAAGAAAATTAGAAATTATAAAGTTTATTTAATATATTTTGAATCAAAGATTAGTTACTTTCTGCACTGAAAAAATGTCCTTTCAAATGAGAGAAAGTCAGTCTTCTTAACTAACAGCGGTGTTGATTGACGAGTGACATCTTACATGAGGAAAGTTATAGTATGGAAGGTCATAAGTGACAGTTTACCTTCACGTGAATAACTTATTTACCTCATTATTTTTAAGTAGGCATAGCATGATAAAAACGGCCTTAAACTTGACGAAAGCAGAATTTTATCGTCAAAATGTTTATGTTAATATTTTGGGGAAAGAACAGTAATTTTTTAATTATTTTTAAAAATTTTTCTGTCTTTAAATTTTCAGAAACTATTCAGGAATGATAGAAATTATTATAAATGGTTTTTTTTTTTAGTCATTTTTATATATATATATATATATATATATATATATATATATTACCCCACACCACCGATAAATAATTTAATGAAAACTCTAGAAATTCAATGTTGAAACATGCAAGACATTATATACAAAATCAAGTCATGTGATGTTTTTATTGTATCATGTTTCTTCCGGGCTTCCATACAATTGAATTATAACTGTTTTTATTGACACAAAAAGCAAGGAACAGTTAAATTTTTGTAATTGTTGGTTCGTTGATCGCAAAAAGCTTGTGCAATTTATAATCTGTACAGATACATGAACTTAAAAAAAAATCATTAAATACAGAATTCAGAATTTCCGTTAATTTTACAATATTTAACAACTTTAATGTAAAAATAATAAAATAATTTATGAAATAACTATAAATTTTTTTTAAAAAATCCATTTTTCATCAAAAAAGTTTTTTGCCTTCAGACAATATTATGCATATTCATAAAAACAAATAAAAGCAACTAAAATTAAATAATATCTTTGTTATTATTGCGTTTTGTATATTACAATTCAGAGCTGATTTTAGATAGACGAGATCGGATTTTTAAAAAAACAAAACCTGATTTACTTTCCTCAAAGCCTTGTGTTTTCAACTCATATAATGACTTGCTTGCTTCGACATTGAATTTTTAGAGTTTTCATTAAATTATTAAGGGGGGGTAATATATATATATAAAAAATATATTTTTATAACGACTTTAAAAAACATATTTATAATAATTTCCATCATTCCTGAATAGTTTCTGAAAGTTTAATTAAAATCTGACAATTATTTCTATTTTTGCAAGATTTTCAAAATTAATGTCTGTCATAAATAAAAATGCACAAAAAATTCGCCATGTTATTTACTAGAGTTCCGGTGATGACAAGAAACAAGGTTTTTCAATCGAAAGTTAGAATGTTCTGATAAAGACAGAAAAAGTTTTAAAAATAATTAAAACTATTATTATCTTCAAAAATAAAATAAAATTATATAAAAAATATTTAGATTTAGGCATTGAATAACCCATAGATGTTGATATGCCACTAAACAAAAACAATCAACATATACTAAGGAACTTATAGCAGTTAGCCTTAAAAATGCCTTTTGGAAGCCTAGACAATAAATAT